ACCTAGTTATCGAGAATCGGGCCGCGAATGGAGAGTTAATGGTCGAGCGGAAGACGAGAGGTGCTGGCGACTGGGCTGTCTGCGCGTGAATGGTGGCTGTGCTGAGTTACTTTATCTTGTAATAGAAGCCTATGTTCTACACTACAATCGGAAAACAGAAAACATAAATATAAGTATTCTTCTGACACCAGTGTCCATTGCGTCTCCTGCTTTAAACACAGCAGACCAGGTTAGATACCATTGAAAGGTCATATTTGGGTGATCTAGTTAACTGGCAAGCTATGTGCTCTCTGCCTGTGAAATCCGATTTGGGGCTTGCATTTATGAACTGGCCCGCTATTCAACTGTCACTGTGAATATCATCATCGTGTGTTGTACCGACCTCCCGACACGCACTATAATAATACGCCATCTTAACTAATTAGGGCAAAATAACTTAAGCTACTTACAAATCAACCAGCAATGTTTGGTGTATTATCTGTCACAGATCACAAAGTTTACATAGGTCTGCCATGTCTCCAAACCGGTGACATCTCACAAGTGACACTTCGCTCGCCGGAGACATTCGTCTCGACCACCCTTACCTAAAACACATCCTCAGCTAACCCAAGCCTCCAGAGTTAACTAACCTGTGTCTTTGCCGTTTGCTGCGTTCACTCGGCCATGGCCTGTATGGTAATTCATCCCTGGGAAATCTAGGAAAGCTGCTTTGTTTAAAGACATGCGTTCTTCTTCTCTTAATTTATTACTGGGATTTCCAATCCTAGTTAGCATTTCTTTGTAAGCGTTAAGCACAATGTTCGCCCGCAAGTTTCTAGGTCGCCTCAACCCAGGTGTGTCTACAAATTTAACAACAAATGTAAGCACGTGTTTCTACTTGACCCTTTCTATGGCTATTTTTGCCACTGCAACAGATAGATAGATAGATAGACAGACAGACAGACAGACAGACAGACAGGCAGACGGACAGACAGAGCTAGATTAGATAGATAGATAGATAGATAGATAGATAGATAGATAGATAGATAGATAGATAGATAGATAGATAGATAGATAGATAGATAGATAGATAGATAGATAGATAGATAGATAGATAGATAGATAGATAGATAGATAGATAGATAGATAGATAGATAGATAGATAGATAGATAGATAGATAGATAGAACGAACAAACTTTATTTTCAACGGGTTAAAAATTGGGCACGCAGGCCCGTCTGACATTCGGCCCTTCTAAGTACTCATTTTTCAGAGTACCAATACCTGTTATCAATAATGCATGTTATGGATTTAATAAAGAAATATAAATTATAGTATAATGCATACACACATCATGTGTACACAATCGTACACACTCACACACACACGTATACACACTCCTATGTTCTCATACATGCGAACTCATATACAGACATACATGATACATACACACATGCATCTACATACATATACAAGCATACACATACATATACAAGCATACACATACATAGACATAAATGCATAAACAGAAAATACACACGCATATATGGATGGCATATGGAACGAACGAACGAACGAACAAACTTTATTTTCAAAGGGTTACAAATTGGGCACGTAGGCCCGTCTGACATTCGGCCCTTCTAAGCACTCGTTTTTCAGAGTACCAATGCCTGTTATCTAAAATGCATGTTATAGATATAGAATAAAAATATACATTATAGAATATAATACATACATCATGTGTACACAATCTTACACACTTACACACACACATATACAATATATATATATATATATATATATATATATATATATATAGATATATATATATATATATATATATATATATATATATATGCTCTCACATTCTACATACATGCACACTCATATACAGACATACCAAACACATACATACATACATATATACATCTAGATATATACACAAACAGAAAAGACACACACATACATATATGGACATATACACACGTACACATGCATGCATGCATACACACACATACAATCACATGTACAGACACACACAACCACACATTTACACTCACATGTAAACATACATACACACATATACATACACACATCAAAACATACACCTACATCTTTACACACATACATGCATACATATCTAAATTCACACACGTACACCCACATACTTATACATCTACAAATGCATACATACATCCACAAACATGCATACATACACACACCCACATACATGCCGACACACATTACATACATACCCACACATGCATGCATACACACATATACAATGACCCATACAGATACTCACATACATACATACACTCATGCATACATACATACTTGCCTACATTATGTACACACATACCCACAATCACACAGCCCGGCTCACTAGCGAAATTGGTTAAACCTGACTTTCGCGGCGGCCGGGTGACGAACTCTTTGTGGTCCGGGTTCACTCCCGGGGGTAGGCAGAAAAGTCACATTTCTCCCAGATTAACGGTACCTATAATGGAATCAATGCCGAAGGGTTGCGATATCCATAGTACCGAGCCAAAGGGTTTACAACTCATGGTTTCTGGATACGTTAAAAAAAAAAAAAATACATACATACACACACAAACAAACTTAAATATACATTCATATATCCACATGCATGCATACACACACACACCTAGATAATATATACATATATACACACATATGGATACTTTTATACATACATACACATATATTATCCATAACCACATACTTACATACACGCATACTTGTACACATTCATAAATACACAAACATCCACATACATACACAGCTACATATACCGACAAACATCTATATACATGTATGAATACACATACACCCACAGACTTACACAGATACATTTACATAGAAACCTTCTCATACATATACAGACATACATAATACATGCACCTACATACATTTATGCACACATACATACATCCACATGTATACATACATACATACATGGACTACATGTACATGCATACACACATCCATACATACACTCAAATACTTAAACATACATACTTTCATACATACACACATCTATACATACACTCACACACTTACACACATACATACTTTTATACTTACCTAAATACACACACATGCATGCATACATACACACACATACATGGATACATACACCTACATCTTTACAAACACACATACCTAAATAGACACACATGCATGCATACACACATATACAATCATCCATACAGATACCCACATACATACATCACATGCATACATGCATCGCACATACTTTCCACATAATATATAAAAAAAAAATAAAAAAATATATAGACACATACTTACAAACCTAAATTTACCTTCACATATCCACATACACATAAACCCACAATCACACACATGCCCAGATAACACATACATACAAACACATACATAGTTACCATAGTTACTTTTACACATACACATCCATAATACATACCCACATACTCACACACATACCTACATTTATAAAAAAAACACACCACATACCAATACATCTACATATACCTACATACATCCACATATATGCATAAATACACACACACATACTTACACGCTACATTTACATACATTCATTCTCATACGTATACAGACAAACCTGATACATACATACCTACATACATACATACATATACGCAGACATACATACATCCACATGTATACATCCTCTCTCCTGGACTTCCTGGTATTTCATTAAGCTGCCTCTGGTCTGCGTCCTGATCTGACAAAGAAGCCTCCAACTCTTGTTTTCGTCCTTTACGTTTTCCAGCCAGCACATCCAGACGTCAAACGAAACAATACAATTGCAGGTTAATCAGCGCAACTCTGCTGCCGCGGAAATAGCACAGCAGACATAACAGCAGACACTCCGGGAAACAGGGGGTAGCGAGCGCTTCCTGTTAGTTTTATCTTCTAAAAAACCCAATTCAATATGAAATCATGTGACACGACACTGGATACGTTTAATGAGAAGTGCACAGACTGAAAGTCGGGTCTTGAATAAGTTCAGAATGGTTTTTTTTTTTTCTTTCTAAGGTATTAGGCTAACAAAAGGACATTTCACAGTTTCACTTTGTACTTTTCGAAAGTGGCCAACGCTTTCACTGATTCAGGGAAAACATTTGTGAATCCTGTCTTGGAATCCACCAGCCAGACTCAAGGGAGACTAACTCCTGGAAATATAACAGACAATATAACATTTGTACGCTTATTGTAAAGTCTGACATACACACGAAAGTACTAAAGTTGATTGTCTGAAACTGTGTAGTCTGAGTACTTTCAGTGGGTTGACTACTGTCTGGGCGTTGTCTGTGTGCTGTCTGTGTGTTGTCTGTGTGCTGTATGATTGTTGTCTGTGTCATGTCAGTAAGTTTAATTTTGTTTGTGTGTGATTTGTATGCTGTCTGTGTGTTGTCTGTGTCCGGTCAGTGGGTTCACTACTGTCTGTGTGTTGTCTGTGTCCGGTCAGTGTGTTCATTACTGTCTGTGTGTTGTCTGTGTCCGGTCAGTGGGTTCATTACTGTCTGTGTGTTGTCTGTGTCCGGTCAGTGGGTTCACTACTGTCTGTGTGTTGTCTGTGTCCGGTCAGTGGGTTCATTACTGTCTGTGTGTTGTCTGTGTCCCGTCAGTGGGTTCATTACTGTCTGTGTGTTGTCTGTGTCCGGTCACTGGGTTCATTACTGTCTGTGTGTTGTCTGTGTCCGGTCACTGGGTTCATTACTCTCTGTGTGTTGTCTGTGTCCCGTCAGTGGGTTCATTACTGTCTGTGTGTTGTCTGTGTCCGGTCAGTGGGTTCACTACTGTCTGTGTGTTGTCTGTGTCCGGTCACTGGGTTCACTACTGTCTGTGTGTTGTCTGTGTCCGGTCAGTGGGTTCATTACTGTCTGTGTGTTATCTGTGTCCGGTCACTGGGTTCACTACTGTCTGTGTGTTGTCTGTGCGTGGTCGGTGTGCTGTCTGTTTGTTGTCTGTATCCTGTCAGTGCATTAAATACTGTCATTGCGTGGTATGTGTGCTGTTTGTGTGTTGTCTGTGTCCTGTCAGTAGGTTCACTATTGTCTGTGCGTGGTCGGTGTGCTGTCTGTGTCCGGTCACTGGGTTCACTACTGTCTGTGTGTGATCTGTGTGCTGTCTGTGTCCGGTCACTGGGTTCACTACTGTCTGTGTGTTGTCTGTGCGTGGTTGGTGTGCTGTCTGTGTCCGGTCACTGGGTTTACTACTGTCTGTGTGTTGTCTGTGCGTGGTCGGTGTGCTGTCTGTTTGTTGTCTGTGTCCTGTCAGGTCGTTAAATACTGTCACTGCGTGGTATGTTTGCTGTTTGTGTGTTGTCTGTGTTCTGTCAGTGGGTTGAATACTGTCTGTGTGTAATCTATGTGCTGTCTGTGTGCTGTCTGTGTGCTGTCTGTGTGCTGTCTGTGGACTGAATGTGGGTTTTGTGTGCATTGTTTCTGACTGGACAGTGTCCTGTCTTTTTATGGTCTGTAGGTTGTTTGTGGTTGACTGTGCTGCCCGTGGGTTGATTGTGTGCTGTCTGTTTATTGTCTGTGGGTTGATTGTGTGCTGTCTACGTGTTCTCTGTGGAATTTCTTTTTGCTGTCTGTGGGCCGCCAGTGTTGTTTCTGTGAGTTGAGTGTGTGCTGTCTGTCTATTCTCTGTGGTTGTCTGTGTGATGTCTGAGTGCTGTCTGTATGCTGTCAGTGTGTCGTTTGTGAGTTGGCTATGTACTATCTTTAGACCACCTTGTGCTCTCTGTGGGTTGTGCTTGTTTTCATGACAGTGTGCTTTCTGTGGGTTGTCTCTGTGCTGTCTATGGGTTGAGATGATTGGTGTCAGTGATTTGTACGTGGGTTGTCTGAGTACTGTCTGTAATTTGTCCTGATCCATGTCTGTTGGTTATCTGTGTGTTATCTAGGCAAAGTATTCACTTAAAGATGTACACAGCACACTGTTACAGAACTACAGAGCGACCAAGAAACAGACAGATTTACGACCTAACAGAGAAGCAGACTCACATAATCCAGCCCAACACACATAGCGCTGTCCCAGACAATGACACTCCCCACAGAACCAGCCCAACACACATAGCGCTGTCCCAGACAATGACTCTCCCCACAGAGCCAGCCTAGAACACATAGCGCTGTCTCAGACAATGACTCTCCCCACAGAACTAGCCCTACACACATAGCGCTGTCTCAGACAATGAAACTCCCCACAGAATCAGCCCAACACACATAGCGCTGTCTCAGACAATGACTCTCCCCACACGACCAGCCCAACACACATAGCGCTGTCCCAGACAATGACTCTCCCCACAGAACCAGCCCAACACACATATCGCTGTCCCAGACAATGACTCTCCAAACAGAACCAGCCCAACACACATAGCGCTGTCTCAGACAATGACTCTCCCCACAGAACCAGCCCAACACACATAGCGCTGTCCCAGACAATGAATCTCCCCACAGAACCAGCCCAACACACATAGCGCTGTCCCAGATAATGACTCTCCCCACAGAACCAGCCCAACACACATAGCGCTGTCCCAGACAATGACTCTCCCCACAGAACCAGCCCAACATACATATCGCTCTCCCAGACAATGACTCTCCCCACAGAACCAGCCCAACACACATAGCGCTGTCTCAGACAATGACTCTCCCCACAGAACCAGCCCAACACACATAGCGCTGTCTCAGACAATGACACTCCCCACAGAACCAGCCCAACACACATAGCGCTGTCTCAGACAATGACTCTCCCCACAGAACCAGCCCAACACACATAGAGCTGTCTCAGACAATGACACTCCCCGTATAGCCAGCCTATCACACATAGCGCTGTCTCAGATAATAACTCTCCCCACAGAACCAGCCCAACACACATAGCGCTGTCCCAGATATTGACTCTCCCCACAGAACCAGCCAAATACACATAGCGCTGTCTCAGATAATGACTCTCCCCACAGAACCAGCCCAACACACATAGCGCTGTCTCAGACAATGAAACTCCCCACAGAACCAGCCAAATACACATAGCGCTGTCTCAGACAATGACACTCCCCACAGAACCAGCCCAACACACATAGCGCTGTCTCAGACAATGACACTCCCCGTATAGCCAGCCTATCACACATAGCGCTGTCTCAGATAATGACTCTCCCCACAGAACCAGATCAACACACATAGCGCTGTCCCAGATAATGTCTCTCCCCTCAGAACCAGATCAACACACATAGCGCTGTCCCAGATAATGACTCCCCACAGAACCAGCCCAACACACATAGCGCTGTCTCAGACAATGACACTCCCCGTATAGCCAGCCTATCACACATAGCGCTGCCTCAGACAATGACACTCCGCGTATAGCCAGCCTATCACACATAGCGCTGTCTCAGATAATGACTCCCAACAGAACCAGCCCAACACACATAGCGCTGTCCCAGATAATGACTCCCCACAGAACCAGCCTAACACACATAGCGCTGTCTCAGACAATGACACTCCCCGTATAGCCAGCCTATCACACATAGCGCTGTCTCAGATAATGACTCCCCACAGAACCAGCCTAACACACATAGCGCTGTCCTAGATAATGACTCCCCACAGTACCAGCCTAACACACATAACGCTGTCTCATACAATGACACTCCCCGTATAGCCAGCCTATCACACATAGCGCTGTCTCAGATAATGACTCCCCACAGAACTAGCACAACACACATAGCGCTGTCTCAGATAATGACTCCCCACAGAACCAGCCCAACACACATAGCGCTGTCTCAGACAATGACACTCCCCGTATAGCCAGCCTATCTCACATAGCCTTGTCTCAGACAATGACACTCCCCATATAGCCAGCCTATCACACATAGCGCTGTCCCAGATAATGACTCCCCACAGAACTAGCCTATCACACATAGCGCTGTCTCAGATAATGACTCCCCACAGAACCAGCCCAACACACATAGCGCTGTCTCAGATAATGACTCCCCACAGAACTAGCCTATCACACATAGCGCTGACTCAGATAATGACTCCCCACAGAACCAGCCCAACACACATAGCGCTGTCTCAGATAATGACTCCCCACAGAACTAGCCTATCACACATAGCGCTGTCTCAGATAATGACTCCCCACAGAACCAGCCTAACACACATAGCGCTGTCTCAGATAATGACTCCCCACAGAACTAGCCTATAACACATAGCGCTGTCTCAGATAATGACTCCCCACAGAACCAGCCCAACACACATAGCGCTGTCTCAGATAATGACTCCCCACAGAACTAGCCTATCATACATAGCGCTGTCTCAGATAATGACTCCCCACAGAACCAGCCCAACACACATAGCGCTGTCTCAGGTAATGACTCCCCACAGAACCAGCCCAACACACATAGCGCTGTCTCAGATAATGACTACCCACAGAACTAGCCTATCACACATAGCGCTGTCTCAGATAATGACTCCCCACAGAACCATCCCAACACACATAGCGCTGTCTCAGATAATGACTCTCCCCACAGAACCAGCCCAACACACATAGCGCTGTCTCAGATAATGACTCCCCACAGAACCAGCCTAACACACATAGCGCTGTCTCAGATAATGACTCCCCACAGAGACATAAGGCAAAGTCTGAACCAGAGCGGGAGCAACACTATTGCCTTTCTTGGTTCAAGCGTAAATAGGCGCGACCAAAACAATATCACACACACACACAAACACACACGTGAAAAGACACAAATGAACTCAAACATACACACTCAATCGCACACACAAAGTCGTGCACATACATTCACACATAAACACCCAAACATAAACACACACACACAAACACACACATGAAAAGACACACAAATGAACTCAAACAAACACACTCAATCGCACACACAAAGTCGTACACATACATTCACACATAAACACCCAAACATAAACACGCACAAACACAAACACACACAAACACGCACAGGCTCTAATTCCCCTCTCTCACACACACAGTACAGTGTATCTTCTGTTTGAAACAAGGCTCATTTTGAACTCTGGACTTTTACCAGTTATCATCTAAAACTACAGACTATCAAACAATGTTGAATATGATCAAATTAAATCCAATAAAACATTTTTTTCGGGGTAAAAACAAGTTGGGGGTGGGGGGGGGGGGGCGGGGCGGTGGAGGAACATTCTGGAAAAATTTCCTTACTTTCTTTTATATAACTCTGACTACACACAGGAGTGGTAGCGCTGACGTCATACACATCTGTTTGAACAACATGTTTGTGATAGCAGGTCTTCTTAATCAGACAGACATTTTAATTTGACTTGATAGCAAAACTAATGCAGGTGTCTTATGCAGTGTAAATCAGTTTCCACAAACCAGGTTTCAAAGCATATTGCTCAGTCGCAGATATTCGAACAGCAGCTGGCACGAACTTAGCAGCTCCGACGATAAATTGATAAATTAAATAAAATAAGTCGAAAATAACCACCCACATTTTTCTGGGCCTGAATATCTGAACCATTTGGCCAGGAATGCAGCCCTCACCAGCTAAGAGCACATTTCATACTTTGTGCTTAAAAAGGTTCCATAATTGCAATGAATTATTCCCACCTAATGTAATCTTTAATTAATGTCACTAAGGTTGAGTAATTGTGTTCACAAATATTGTCTGACTTCAAATCTCCGACAGATCTTTGAACCTTCTCGGCAAAAACCGAGGCTCAGTATCCGGCTGCTAGTCCTACCTGGCAATGTAATTGTCCATCCGGTTGCAAGAACATCAGAAGTGGTTTCTCTGAACCGGATTAGGGCTTCCGCCTCCATTTCGGCACAATCAAGTGTTGACACCGCCATCTTTAGCTGTACTTTTACGGGGATGTTCAAGACGTTTCAATGGTTAATGACGCAGTGAGGATAATCAACAACATAGATAACACATTCTGAACGATGAAAACCCCTTTATGTCTCTTTAACAACGCTTCAATCCTGTTGTCCATTTTACAGAGAGTCCAATCGAGGACGTAATGTTTTGTTTTAAGCCCTCCCCCCCCCCCCTCCCCAACCCCCTCCCGGCTGTTACCGGGGATCCCTATTATCACCCAACCTATGGATTGAACGGGGTTTCCGGGACTTGTCCCTGGGTGATCCTCATATAAATGTTGGCAGTTTGTGTCACTGGGTGCTTATCATTCGTGTTGTTTTCTGGTGGGGTTAAATGTCAATCATTCTACTACTGCTTAAAAAAAAAAAAAAATCTTTTCAGGCGATGTCAAAATTCCTCGAGCTTGCTAAAGTTTCTACATATTATTTTACTACTCACTGTCGATTTTTTCCCATTTCCCCTTTTCCCCTTCCGCAAAAAGAACAGAACACTCATGTTCCTTCACAAACACAAACTACTCAGACTCCTACACAAGAACAGAACACTCATGTCCCTTCACAAACTACTCAGACTCCTACACAAGAACAGAACACTCATGTCCCTTCAAAAACACAATCTACTCAGACTCCTACACAAGAACAGAACAGAACACTCATGTCCCTTGAAAAACACAAGCTACTCAGACTCCTACACAAAACAAGAACACTTATGCCCCTACACAAAAAGAAACTTCTCACACTCCTACACAAGAACAGAACACTGACACTCCTATACAAGAACAGAACACTCATACTCCTACACAAACACAAATTACTCACACTCCTACACAAAAACAGAACACTGACACTCCCACACAAGAACAGGTTACTCACCACCTTTCGGTCGTCATGCCAACACCGATGGAAGCCAAACTGAGTGAATTTAAAAGACTAGGTCAGTACTAGAGTCACCGCTGAAAATATAGATAATCTATTTCAAGCAAACGAAAGAATAATAATCATTG